AATTTACCTTTCCAGCATATTTGTACATGAAGTGGCCTTAATTAACTGCATCAAAGTTTCCATTCAGCATATGTATTGCCATGTATTTCTTTAATTGTAAAGGGAATAGAAACCTACTCAAGAAAAATCAGGCTAGCAGAGGCTTCATGCATTCTGGAGAAATCTTGCTGCTCTCAGTGTAGGTAAGAGCAGCAGAAAAAAAATGGAAATCCCTACTCTGTGGAAAATAAAAGCATTGCTAAAGAGTTTTAGTGCTCTAAGATACTTGCAGAGCTATCAATCATTTTATCTTAACTGTGGCCATCATCCTGTGGGAGCCAAGCACTTCAGAATCTGATGTTCTCTGCTCAGGTGGGTAAAAAATAATGTTCCTAACAGAAGTACACAATCCTACTACAGCAAAGACCCCCCTTTAAAGATCCCAACTTGCCTGCACATTTCCTGGTGCCAGCCTACATCCTGTAAAAGAGGATCCAGGGAGAGCCTGGAGATCTTCTGGACAGAGATTTTTGTGCCATGGCCTGGTAGGAAAGAGTCACAGCAATTTTAGCTGAACCTTTTAAGGCTCTGTGCAGAAGTTCAGGTGTAAGCCATGCCAAATAGTGGTGGGATTAAATCCTGGGAAAGGTGAAAGGCAGCACCTCCTGAAGCCCACAGCTGGAGGCACACAGTTTAGCCAGCATGGCTGTTCACATTGTTCTCCTGGAACAAAAAGAACAGTAATCTGATATACACCTTTTCCAAAGAGGGAATGCTGAGGGGTCCAGGGTGGTCAGACCTTGAGCTGATCAAGGGCATAATTTTGTCTATTCTGTTGTTTTAAAACGCCTTCTTCCATCTCTATGTCAAATCAGAAGCATTAGAATTTCTACTTCCTGAAGTAATTTCAAGTTGATTTTTACTGTCCCGTGATCGTGTTAGTTTTATATTCTGTTTATCTGATCTCTTCATTTCCCTTTATTTAACTCTGATTGTGAGCAGCACTCCAGACACATGGAGGCCTTCATGCCTTGCTTTTGACACCTTTCCATGGATTTATAGTCCACATGCCAAAGTTGTACATTCTCTCTTGTAATTTAAGCTTGGGCAGTTCCTTGAGCTAATGCCATTCTCCAATTTCGCTTTGCAAGGCTGACTTGACCCTCTCTACAAGGTAGCCAGAACCAGACAGAGATTTCAAGCCACAGCTTGAACTTCTCTCTGCAATTCATTCCCTGCATTAATGGTGGGAGAGCAGGTGGGAAGGGCAGGAGATGGGCTGGTTTAGGATTTGTTAATAAAGCTCTGATAAAAAGCAGTGGGAATGTCATTTCTGTGCAGTTTCTGGCTCACCTGCCAACACCTCTGGTGCTTCTCTCGCTGAACACCGGGCTCCAGAGCTCAAGGTCCAGCCTTGCAGGCCAGGGACAGGGCACTGGCTTTAGGAAAAGCCACCTGTCATGGACAGGAAAGGACTCAGGTGAAGGGACCTAAACTGCAAAATGGAGGACAAAAATCTCTCAGCATTGTCAGAGACCACCAAACACAAGCAGCAACACCATCACTGCTGATGCTGAAAAAAACTCTTTTGCATCAATTTGGGCACAAATATCAACACCAGCTATTTCTCATAGGCTTGGACAAAGCTATTTAACTGCATTTCTCAGGCTGTTTTTCCTCCTTGGCAATAAAGTTTCAATCCACATTAGTTTGAACAAGTTCCTTAAAGGTTTTTGAAGTTTGTTGGGTCAGCAAAACCCCAAGCATATGCCACTTTTCCATGACAAAGCTCCCATGCTGCTTGTTAGGAACGAATCCAGCAGCTAACACAGCTCTGAGCCAATGCACTGAAAAAAGCATCCAGTCAAAATAAAAAGTCCCACGGTGGATCCTACAAGCCACATGCGTTTGATTATTTGTTGCAGCAGAACGTGATAATAATGCACCAACGGGAATTTGCATTTAAAAAAGCCAGGGCAAGCCCTGCTCCGGGTTGTTTTGGTAGCCGGTGTAAACAAGGCGCCCACGGAGCGGCGCTCTGGCCTTCGCAGAGCCTGAGGGCAGCCGGCCAACCCCGCACCCCGATCCCCATCCCGAGCTGCGAGCACAGCCAGGGACGGGCCGCAGCCTTTGAGCCCAGCGCTGCTCCGCCAGGGAGAGCCGAACAACGTCGGGCTCCAGGACACAGCTCCCCAGCTTTGATACTAAATGCAAAGGGCACTGACAAGATGTACAGATACACAAACCCTACACACAGGGAACCTCTGACCTTGGGGTTTCACTGCATTGCATGCATTGGCAGTTTCCTACATCACCAAGTTACTGTCCCCAATATAAACTGGAGTATTTTCCTATGAGGCAGTCACTGATGGAGGGAAGCTTTTCCACCCGGTTCAGGGACATCTGTGCTTACTGGGTTCCACTTCAGCACCTGGTCAGAACCATTTTTCATCACTAACTCCTTTAGTGAGTGGAGTCACCAGGAGACAGCAGCCAAGGAGCAGCTCTGCCCTGTCCCAGGGTCAGGGCTCCCTGCACTGCACTGCACCAAATGCAGCAAAGAAGCGGAGAGGGAGAACACTCCAATTCCACAGAGCTCCGAGAGCTCAGGGTTACACAGGGTGAATGCACCTTTTTTCCCTTCCTTAACCTTGCCAGTTTTAGAGGACACTGAACCCTGTATGAAATGCAGTAAAATGCAGAGTTATTCCTTCAGTGTTGGAGCAGTCAGAGTCACGAACCTGCCTGAACACGATGCCAAGCTCAGAGCTCTGCACTCCCACGCGCTCCGGGCTGTGGTCACTGGTACAGCTCTGCAGAACCAGCTGCAGCCCCAGCAGCTCGTGCAGGATGGCACAGGTGGTAAAAATTGATACTGGGAAGGAAAAGGATTTGCAAGAAGGCAAGACAAAAAAAGAAATTGAAATACTTAGTTGCACAAAGTAAACACAGAACTACTAGAGGTGCTTATTATAAAAAGACAAAGCAGAACTTGCCTGTACCCTGTTGGTACCTTGCAGCATTTATTCTAAATATTAAGAAAAGCTTGTTTTAAGAGGGGGGAAAAAACAAAACCAAAACAAAATAGAGACAGAATAAAGGAAGCTTTGCCACAGATGTCACTCTGAAGTCCTGTCCCAGTAACAAGAGCTTTACTGGTTTTACAAACTGCTCCGAAATCGCCCACGACACACGAGTCCCGAGTCACGTGCAGAGAAAAGCTCTGCAGGAGTGTTTAACCTGCTGAATCCACACACTGGAACTTCAAACTGTGAAAACACAGAAAACACTTTTTTAGGAGGAAAAAAATCCAGGAAACACGACGACTCAACCACATCTGGGGCTGTAAAGGCTGCTGCTCATTATTCTGATTAGAAAATAATATGAAGTGTGAACCTTAAATAACAGAAGGTCCTTTGCACAGAAGGAAAATGCTGCAGAGGTGACACAGGCACTGCTCAAAGCCAGGTACCAGCCCCCTGTAGGATGGGAAGCTCTGAACCTACTGGGCTGACTCACGATGCTGAGGGACAGTGAGAGAATTTGACCTCATCCAATTCTCTGAAATTAGTTCACATAGGCACCAATACAGATAAATGTTTTCCTTTAATAGCGAAGGATTTTATAATGAAGCAGAAACATATAATATATTCCATGCAACCAACCTCATTTATTGAAAAGTCCTAATTTTATTGCCTTGTTTAGTAACATGTTTGTTCAACAAACTAATCTTTTTCATGAAGCAAAGCACAACTTTTTCTTATAAATAGTATAAATTATTTTATTTACAGAAACTTGTTACAAAACAAATAGACTATATATTTATTTTTCTTTTAAATATCCAAAGTAATTTTTCTATCCCATGACATTTGTTCATGTACTATACAGCAGCCAACACAGAGTTCAGCTGATCAGATGCTCTTGATTATGTATACAAATTATCAAACTATTCACACATTTTACACAGGAGATTGCTTTTAGAACCAGGCTCAACACCGAGCAAGATGCTTCCAAGGCCTACATTCACATTGACATTATGTAGTGCTCATTTCAAAATTATCTTTAAAACATAAAATATCTCGCACAAAAGGTAAAAATGATTATTTTCTGCTGAACAGTGAAACATTTAAGAATCTTTCTAAGCCCAACTCCCTCCTCCAGGACAGAATGAGTAAAAGACGAGAGATTCCTTGGCAAGAGAACTCTTACAGGAAGACAACTGCCTTAGAAATGTCATTTGGAAATCACATCTTTATTTTTTCATGGTTTAAGAGGTACTTACTAGGGGTTTTTTCTTTGTTTTGGAATACCAACAATTTGGAACATTTTCTAAATTATTTGACTAATGAATATTGCTCCCCCCCTTCCCAAAGTGAGACAGTTAAATAAACTGCTGGTTAAAACCATATTTCAAACCCTTGGCATTATACTAAATATGAGTTATCAATGGGATTGTTCCAACAGAAGGTATTCAAATTAAAAGATTTTACAAAAGCTACCAGTATAATTTGCTTTCTTTTGTCAACCCATCTCATAAATTTCAGATATATAGATATATGCATATGTGTGTATACACAGACACACACACACATATATATTATATATAGGTGGAAAAAGCAAGCTCCAAAATTTCAACTGAACATTCAAGTCTTTTAAGGAGAAGCTGTCTAAACAGTCCAAGCTTAAAACTAGTTATATCAGGCACTTTCAGTTTTTCCGTTAGTTTGAAACCACATGAGACCCACACGGATGCGCACGCACACACACGCACACGAACACTAAAAAAAGAGAAGCAGAGTGTCACTTAGCTATGGATCTGCTGGGAGTCAGGCAACTGAGAAGCAATCAATGCCACACCAACCACGAGGGCTCCGGGCTCGGCATCCTCGGCGCGGATCCACCCACTCCCAGGACAGGGAAAAGGGACACAGCTTTCACAAAACGGAGGCATCCCTTACATTGCAAAGTAGGCATGTTAACTATTGGCTTGGCAGTGAACCACTTCAAATTATAAAAAGGTATTTGCTTTTTTTTTTTTAATTAATTAATAAATAAATACTAGATGATCTCAATTGTACCAAAACTGGATATAAGAAAAAAAGACCTGTGCAAAAATACATATTTAAATATGTACAATCAATTAACAAAATATGTCTTCTGAAATAGGGATACTTCAATATTTATAATAGAACAAGAAATTCCAAAATAAAGATACAAAAGTATGTTTTTTTTTCTTGTATAATTCTTTGTTCATCATTGCAGCAATTTTTTAGGTTAAGAAAACTGCAGGAGTCATAACGAGAAGTTGGAAAGACTATAAAAACTGTATCTCTTAAATTAATACCAAAATCTGTCTAGAAACAACCCAGCCACTGCAAATTCAATTTTGCAAGGAAAATTAATTTTAAGCTTCCTTAATTATTTACAGTAAGAACTATGTGACAATAAAAGCTTCAGGAACAATGTTCTGCTTACAACCAAGATCTAAAACATAATATTTAGAGCAGGTCTAGGGCAGGCAGAATTTATGCTCGGACTCTTTGCTCCAGTGGCTCAAGCCCACATGGTGCAGGTGGCTGCACCCACTGGCTCTGGAGGAGCAGCCATCAGGAATTCATTTTGTACACATCTGCATGCTACTGAAGAAGCACAAATTTGCCATTTTGCTTTCAGATCAACAGAACCTTAAAAACCAGAGGACAGTTCAATCACAAACTCGCCAGCGCCCAATCTCGTCAAATTTCTGTTTCCTTTACCTTTGTTTCTACCAAGAGTCAAATTGCACTTGTGACTGATGCTATCCTGAAGTGGAAGCTCTGCCCCAGGGACTTTCATCAGAACATGGATTTCTCTTCAAACGTGCAGGATTTAATACACCTGGATTTCTTTTTGAAGCATTTCACTTTGGTTCCTTTTACATGAAACCAATTGCAGTTCTAACAATCCTTTCAACAGGGCATCCTATTAAATACGAATCCTTTTGTTCCTGAAAAGTTGTCTACTGGTTTTTTTTTTAAAGTTTGCATAATAAGAGTCTCTAGTACATTGCTTTCTCAGTGTGATCTTTTGTATCAATTCAAAGCTAAAGTGTCTGCATAGAGGCTTCTTGTTGTTTTGCTGTATAACAATGATTTCATAGGAAGTTCAGGAGAAACTGAAAGCATTGTTAGGTAAACAACTAAGCAACTGCTACTCAGAGTGGCTTTGGATTCCCTGATGTACTTACTACTTGCCACCACAACGGGGAGAAGGCTGGGCTACGTGAACAGCTGGACAGGCTCAGATTGTCTCTTCTCAGCAATAGCTGATGCCCCTTTAAGGCAGAAAATAAAAATCTTCTTCGTTAGGATTTCATCTTCCTTTGCTTTGCCCCCTTAATAAAAGTTTAGTCAGTTTTGAGCCTTTACCTGACGTTTAAAAACTTAACAAAAACATCCAGATGAGTCAAACCATAATACAATGAGCCCTTTGGCGGAATGAATTTTTGAGGTGTTTTGAAGCAAGACAAAATACTTCATAAAAATTGGCTGGGTTATATAAAACTGTAAAGCCTCCCATGCTCATAAAGCCTGGGTGGGCCTGGGATGACTGTGATGCACAAACCAGTGCTTCACAGTGAACTCTGCTGTCAAATTGGCATTTATTCCAGAATTTTGACTAAAAACCCTAAACTTACTGAGTGGTAGAAGACACCACACATCAACAATTTTGTTACACAAACAAGGCAGAAAGAAACTGACCTTTATGGTTGTTAAAAAATATTTAAATATTTTAAAAACTCATTTTTAAAAGGGCTAATTTTATCTGCTGGAAGAGGAAGACAAATCCAGTCTAATTTCATCAATAGTTTTTCTTTTAAAAAAAACAAAGGCCTGTGGTATACAGTATAGGTCAATAAATAGGTTCTTTGGGCATAGAGTTTTAGAGGTTATTTGCCTTTGTCTGTTTGATATTTTTTGGAATTTTTAAAGAACAAAATTAACTTTTCTTCCACAATAAAATCTCATTCAAAAGAATAGAAAATAGGTTTTGTATCACACAAATACGGCATTTTTATACTTGTTTTCTGAGCAGTGGCCTCAAACAAGTTTTTCTGGTTTTGTTGGGTTTGTTTTGTTTTAAACTCCTGATAGCTTCTTATCCCAAATTACCTGCAAAAGGCTGGGCAAAACAGACTATTTTTTGAATTGTGCTATTTTTAAAATTCCATTAAAGGAACATTGCTATAAAAACACTAAAGCCATATTCCCTTCTTGAGGGCTTCTTTCCATTGTGCCTCACACATTTTTCCCCTTGTCACGGGGTCCTCTCCATTGAGGGTGTCTGTCTGGTTAGCTATCACCTACAAAAGACACCATCAGTATAAAAATAAGTCCACAGTAATGTTTATTTCCCCCCAGAAAACATTCGTTTGCCCAGCCAAACTATGTCAAATAGTGGCAAGATGATGTACTCCTGTAAGGAAAATCTCACAGATTTGTAGCAAACAGTCCAGACCACTGTTAACACTGATAAGAGCAATTATGTGGCTGAACTTCATCCAGTGTCCATTTCTAGTATATTCACTGCTACAGACATGGCTTCAGGGAAATTCCTTGTTTAAGTGACAGTCCAGTAGATTTCCACACCTGAGGACCATGGGAAGTTGGGAAAACTCAAGGCATCTTGGAGTCCAGAAATCCAGATGGAGGTTTTGCTTGTAGTGAAAACTGTCCAGTTTGTTTCTCACCTTGGTGCCTTCAGCTATCAGGGACGGGCCTTTGGCTTGGGGGCAAGAAAAGAGAGAAACATCAGTGCAGGCACTGAAAAGAAACTTATTTTGTGGCTAACAAGAGCAAATTTGGGGGAAAATCTCAGGCACAAAGCAACCTTGATAACCTGAGGCTGGTCTCTCTGACACTTGAAAATTCTTAGCTAAACCTCTTCGAATTTGTAATGGTTTTAAGCATGCTTTCCTTCTTAGTTCACTCAAATCATATTTCTTTTTTACTTATATTGCATAGTTTAAATAGTAATTATTAGGTAAGTCCAAAAATAAATTCAGCCATCTGAAGGCTTTTTTTCTTAAGAAAACACACAAAAAGGTGAAAATCTTCCTCTGTGGCTGAAACTGAAAATTAAGAAACCACTCTCAAAAAGTTCTTACCGACCTCCTGGCTCTCCAGCTACAGTGATTTCAGTTTTTAGCAGCAGAGAAAACAAAGTTTCTTGGATTTTTGATCCTGAATGCACTTTTCCAGTGAGATTTGTTTAAAAAAAAAATCAAAACCCCAAACTAATTTTTAAAATGGGATCTTACATACTCATGAGATCTGCTTCCTTTATAGCATATCTACTTGCCTTACCAACTAAAAAGGTTTATTATCTGATTTATTACATTTAATCTCATTATTACTAAGAAGTTAGTCAATGACATCTTGGGATAATAGGCTTATTTTATCACAGTATCACAGTTCTGTTATCAGCATCATTATTATGTTCCACTTTGTAGAATGTTTATTCCTGACACAGAAACAAGGACTCAGGCTGAGACACACAGCTCAGTTCCATGGCAGGCTGGCAAGATTCTTTTTTAAAATTATGGTTTAAAAATAAGAGGAATTAATTTTATCTGAAAGCAATTCAAAGGCAACAGCATCCAAGGAATTTGAAATATCCCATATAAGGTTTCTTTCCTAAAGTATAGCTTTTTTATTTAGAACATTTATAAATGTCTTGAATAAATGTACCATAAAAACACTCAAAATGAGTACTGGACAAAAAGAAGAACTACCTTTTACTTGAGCAGGATCTGAAACTGGCTATCTATTTAATATTAAAGAGAAGACATGAATTATAAGCATGTGAGGAGGCATTCCATGCTGGCTTAGTTTGAGACAAGATTTCCTACCTGATGAAACAGAGAATTGTTCATCAGTCCTTGCGTCCCTGGGATTGCACCAGTGTGTTTTGCATGAACATTGTTCACCGATGTCAATTTGGCAACTTTGTTTGATTTGCTGCTGCTGTTGATGCTGCTTGAACCAGGTGAGCACTTTCTTTTCTTTCCTATTAATTTGTCAAGGGAAGTATGTGAATGTGAAAAACTGCTGTGTGAATTTACAGTCAGCTCACTAGACTGATGAACAAAGGGCCCTAAGGAGAGCGTGGAGTCGCTGCTGTTCATCATCACACTCATTCTCTTGATGGACTCTGCAGGGCTCCCGGTCGGAGGACCCCTCCCTGATTGGTCATGTTTGAGGCTAACAGAGTTAGCTTTGCTAGTCATACAGTTGAGGCCAACGCTGTGGGACGAAGCTGTCACTGAGGGATGATAGGAGGTCCCAGAGTTAACCACACAGTTTTTTCTAAAGGACTCTGTGGAATGAGAAGGTGCGAGCAGTGCGGAGCTGTTTTTACGCTTCTTTCCTGAGCCGCCGCTGCTACTGACGCTGCCGGTGCTGTTACAAGTGCCGCTGCCAGCAGGAGATTCCTTAGGTTTAAAAGATTTGCTGGATTTCATTTTCTGAGGTTTGCTGGCCATAGGTGAAGGAACAGAGGAAAGCACTGTAGGTGTTGAAGGGGAAGAAGACACTTGTCTTGATTGCATACTGCAGACGGGATCCACGGCACCCAGAGCAGCGGGGTTGGCGCTGAGCGTCGTCCCGTGGGATGGCACCGATTTGCTGCTCAGGGACACGCAGGAAGGAGACACCAACGCTGGCGATGACATAACCGTGGTGGGCAAGAGGAACCCTGCTGCACTGACCCCGTGCTGAGAGGCAGGCAGCAGGTTTGTCCGATGTGGGGCACGGACTGATGCTGTGGTGCTGGATGCTGGAGGAATTTTCCTGCAGGTGAATAGAAAAAGAAAGATCAAACCTCACATAGTCACCATTCTTCATCCATATAAACCAATAATGCTACCTTAAAATGATTGTATCTTGGGGTTGATTAATGCCTCTGATTATATTAAACTGATAGTTAATTGTTGCAAGAAATATAAAGCACAAACCATCAACCTTCAGTCTGAACACAAGATTACTTTCTTTAACTAGAATCACAAGGTTCCATGTACTTCTACAAACACCAAGAAGAATAAGAACTTTCATTTCTACTCACTTCCACATCTGTGAATTCAGATGCTTCTCCAACATGAAGTCAAGTGCACATCGAATATGGTTCCACCGCTTGTCAAACACGTAATAACCTCTTCCAATTTGCTGACTACCAAATGTGCAAAACTGAAAAGACACGATTTTTATTGGTGTTTTCTGCTTTCAGTGACAACTCTCTGAATGACAATTTGTTTATGATAAATATGCTTTTAGATGTTTAAGTAGAGGATCAAAAAATAAATTAGAGTTTTTATGTCTGTGGCCCAACAACTATTTAAAATTTTTGGCCTTGGTATATTGAGTATTTTCTTGTCTTCTGATACACGCATACTTAATAGAAGAAGTCAAATTTGACTTTAATCAAATCCTTTGATTAAACAGAGAAGGTTAGCAGTATGTCTGTTTATGTATAAACATTATACACACAGACACATATTTATGTAACATCTGCTTCTGAGGACCTACCAGCTATCAGCTAGAAGTCTGTTTCTGAAAAAAATATAATTTGACATCCAGGACAATAAATTTGCTTTTAGTTATACTAACTAACTTTTGTCAAAATTTAAATATTAAAATACCTTACTGCTATCTTTAACATGATGTTGGTAACTTGAGTAAAAAATGTAAGTGGGTGTGGACAGGGGAGTCCAATAAGAAAATTGCACCAAAAAGACACTGTTTACTTATTCCAAAACCACAGCCCTTTAGAGCAGTTAGCAATTTCATCTTTAGTATGCTGGCATTTTGTTTTCTTTTAGACAGGGGAAGTGAGCTATGAACACATTTTTTTAGCATGTTTATTTTGTAACTAGTTAAACCTTCACTGCCTACTAGGCCACAAAATAATTTTCTCAAAATATAGGGAGGGGAAAAAAAAGAAAAAAAAAAAGAAAAGAAAGTATCACACACCTCACAGAAAACCATGCCTAAAACCCCAAAGTAACTTGTTTACACAATTAGAGCCAGAGACAGACTGAGGTTAACTTTGCAAACGTACACCGGCTGGTTGAGGATGATGACCTGAATAATGACAATCCAGTTTTTCAACAGGCTCTTCTTTCTCATCACATTCTCCCTCATCACTGGATAACCGAGATGCTGGCTCAGCTGCAGGCAAGGGAGGGTGTGGGGACTCGTGGACAGAAGGAGACTCGCTGGGGGCATTTCCACTGTGCTGGGCTGGACAGCCTGGAGGCCTGGCAAGGCAAGCAGTAACCAGGTGTTATTGAACCCAGTCCAGTTAAAAATTCCACCCTTTAAGTGCTTATTATTACTGAAAGAAATCTAAATTAAGAGATCTCTGGTGTTGCCCACCTTGTAACCTGCCAAGGGCAAGCACAGAGTATGGTGGTACCCCTGGAAAAGCAGCATTGCCCAATTGTTGCTCAACCGCTTCCACTGATTGCAAGTCAGCTTTTACTACTCCAAACAGTAGTTTTACTACTCCCTCCTCACCAGGAGTTACCCTCAGCAGGTAACTGCTAATTGCAGACAGGCACCAGGCCTGCAGCAAACACACTGCCCCATCCAACAGATCCGTATCGCTCCCTCATCAAGCTCCCGGTGTTCATTTCATACCACTGCATCAGATTTTCCTTACCTTGGAAGACTGGGGGGGTGAGGTTTGGGTTTATTAGGTAATAAAGGCTTTGATTCTGTAAGAGTAACTCCATGAGAATTTTGGTGCAGCTCCTGGGAAGTTTTAGTAGGTGAGGGATGTGGTTCCCTGAGAGGGGGCATCTGCTGATGATGATCCGAATGTCGAAGAAGTTCCTTTTCCCTGGTTTTGCTTTTGTGCTCAGCTAACAACACATCAAATCGTTTTCTTCGACCCTGTACAGCCCTCCGCTGGGTTAAGGAATGTGTCTGCAGAACCAGGAATAAATCATTAATCCCAGGCTATGACATTTGTGGAAGTCAAACACTCAAAACATGTGTAGAGAGCTCCAAAACAGAGAAAATCATCACAGTCCTGGTTTAGTAAACAAATGGAAATATGACAAATTTTAAAATTGCTTGGTGGATGATTATATCCTTGTCTGATATAGAGCAACTAACCCAGCAATTTGGTAAAAGGCTTCTTTCAAACTTCTTTTTAAAAACCAAACTGCCAAATTTTTAATACGGTTAAGACTAGAACCAAAACCCTTTTTTTACATTGATATTTCAACTGCCAACTCCTGCAAAACCAAGAAGAGAAAATATTTACTTCCACTTAAAAAAAATATTCAACAAAATAATGTTTAAAATCAGACTTCTAATGGGAGACCTGAAAAATATTTAGAAAAGTACTGTGCTGCCTCCTATAAACTAATATATTCCTTGAAAACTAATGTAATCAAATAGATATTGAGGAATTCAAAATATCCAGCAGATTTCAGAGTCAGGGAGGACTCAAAGTTCTTTGAGTGTCCTGAACACTACAGACAGTAAGACATGTATGTGTATAGATGGCACCAATTCTAAGTAAGGTGAAGTAAATGGAAGCTATTTTTCTGAATTGTTTAAGTCATATACAATACCTTTTTAATATGGCACAAAGAGTTTGATTTGTTTTTTTTAGTAGGTAAAAATTTGTCACATAATTCAGACACAAATAGCAATTCCAAAAGTTATTTTATGAGTAGTGTATTCTAAAGAATTCCTGAGAAATGTTTTTACTCTTTCTTTTTCACTTTTGATTTGCCTATTTCTCTTGTAAAACCTTGCAGCTTTTCCCTCCTCTATTAACAAAACAATTTCCTCCCCTCTGTAATTCCAAAAGGGCAATGTGTTCAAGTTCAGTTCCTCTGGCTCATTAGTGCCAGCTTCATGTACCTTTGTTCTGTAGGTGGTTTATTTACCAGACCTTTCCCAAACTGAGGGTAGAGCTGCTTTGCAGGAAAGCACCAAAATATTTCACAAGTGCAGGAGATCTGGATTCTTGGTTCCTTGGGAGCAAGTGACAGCCCTGTGTCCCCGCAGGGTTTTGGAGCCAGAGGATACATTTTGTCAGACAAAGTTTTTATGACTGTTTAATTTAGAGTTTGACCTCTAGGTGTGCTCCGTGGCTCTTTCAGGAGCTGGCTGCAGCAGTACATCCAGCAGCATTAGCATTTACACAAATTCCTACCAAGAACCTGCTGCAGACTGCTGGGGGGAGAGGAAAGAGTGTGAGAAGGGAAGAGCTTGAATGATTTAAATACTGCATAAGGAATATTTTCAATGCTTATGAGGAATTTTAAAATTCATGATCTATAACTGGAAGGTTACTCCCAAAAAGAGGAACACGCTGCCCCTGCTATCTGCATGTGGAGAAACAGTTTGCTCCATGTCAACATCCATGTTTAAAGGATTAATACAAAAATACAAATCTCCAGGTTACTTTGAGAAATGCTTTCTGAATAAATAATTAACTGAACTTCAAAACCAATTTCTTTTTGGTTCTGAGCAACATGTTTTGAGAGGTACCACTTACAGTGGTAATTACCAACAGCAAAATATGCAGTTCTCTGTTTTTCATCATGTTCCTCAAGAATTTGAATAAAAACTTCAGATAATCTTATCCTGATTCAGATATCCTACCTTGCATGTTAAAGACCTAGTACAAGGTTTCCTGGTTTCCACATCAATGACACCACAGTATATATCAGGATCAAATTCTCTCTCTGTCAAAGACACAGTATTGAAAAGTTAGCAAAAGACATTTTCAAATACTAAGGTTTAGTTTCATCATAAAATTAAACATATTGGAAACTTTACAAATATGACACAGTACATATAAAAATGCACAATGAAAGTATACAAATAAATTTTTCTACACTCTCAGCAAGCTTATGGGGTGCTGAAATACAGATCTCAAGTCCACAAACACCTGTAAGTGTCCTCAAAGGAGGATTTGATGCTCCCTGTTAGGAATAGAGATCACCATTATGAATTGTGACAAACAAATGATGGATTTCTGTTGGCTTTGGTGTCGAGAACTTTTCAACCATTCTACTAACACTTAAAATAATTGTGTTAAAAAGTGTAAAGAGCAGACTGGGTTTGCATTTTTCAGTTTATCAGGTGCTGTTTTTTTCTGTTTTCTGTGTACATTTGGACCTTCCATATAGAAAGAAGGAAACTAAAATCTCTGGAGATAGTAAAAGAGTGTAATTTTAAAACTGTCAGGACTGACAGGCATTTGAGATCTGTACAGGTTTCTGAAAGGAAAAGTCAATTTCAAGGTGTTTGCATCCTTAAAGTGGCTGTCAAATTATAGATATAAATTATAATATTTAAAAACTCTTACAACACTTTACAGAATTACAGGAGTTTTAAGTTACTTCTGGAACTTATTTCCATACATATATTTCTACTAAAAGAAATATAGCTAATAATAATTTTTAAAAATTACCTGACAATCTTTTATGTAAAAATTTCCTATTATTCGTATTTTCTTCAGGTTTCTTTTCCAAAAATGGAGGCACAGAGAGAAGACCTTTACCATTCAGTATCTGTCCAGGGGAAGGCAAGGGTGGCTTTGGTATTGAGGGACAATTAAGGCCAGTCTTTATTGAGGAACTCACAGTAGTAGAACAAGTTGGACCAACAGCAGCTTTCAGTTGGGCACCATCTATCTTTGGATGAATCTTTTCCACTTTGACAGATGGAGTCATACTGTTATTTATGAAAAACAAAGAGAGAAAAATTGGAAAAAAAATAAGCTAAAATATGTTATTATTTAACAACACTCTGATCTATTCCCAATATAAATGCAAACCTTCCTCCTACTATCTTTCTAATTTTCACATTTCTTATGATATCCATAATCTCTCCTATCCTTTTTTCCCTGACACTTCAGAGTGTCCAGGGATTTCAGAAACCATTATTTGCATTCATGGACAGACAGCATCAATGCAAACTGTCCAAAGCAACTGCAATGGACCCATTATGTCCAGTGAGAAATGCACCATTCTGTAGCAGTAAATTTTACCAGCACTGCTGTCATCTCACATGTGCAGGTTGAAAACCACCTGAATCAGAGCTAAAACTCCCTTATGATCAAAGTATGCAGATTACATCAAAGAATTAGGAGCCTCTAGTAAAATGACCTTTATTCACGATGATTTAAGATGCAGCTTTGCAAGAGTTCTTCCTCAACAGAGATATGAGCATTAACTATAATCTTTGACTAGGCTGTGGGAAAAGATCTGGAGGAGTTTAAAATTATTTTCTAAACCAAAAATACTTTGAAACAAAAGGCAGCTTTCTTGACATAGCAGTGTCTATGCAAGTAATGACATTTAACTCTGTTTCAAAAGGCACACTCACATTTTGTCATGGGGAACTTTGCTGTGCTGTACCGAATGCATTAACCTGTTGTTTCCGCTGATCTGCAGCTTGTCTTTGGGTGATTTCAACAACTTGGAGTTTGATGATGATGCACTAGTACCTCCACTGGATGAACGACTGCTCCCACTTCCACTGCTACCTTTGTTTTTTGAAGGGAAAGATGAAATGAGGGAAAATACTGAAGAGGAGGGAGGAGTCAAAGGCGGCTTGCTGGAGGAGCTGTGTCTTCTTTCTGTAAGAGTGAAAAGGGGTTTTAAACTCCCATATAGAAAGAACTTGTAAATACTTCATGTCATTTACTCCATTAGCATTTTTCCTTTATTGTCCTGGGAGGTTCCCTGCCACACAGAGAGCATAGAGGATTCATGCCTCTCTGTAATCCATGAGGTTCCACTCAACGCTGGTCTCCAGAGGGTTATGGGAATCTCTTTGAGCTTTGGGAGCTGCACATCTCAGCCAGTGAAGTTTAGCTCTCCCTCCATCTCAAACAATCAGCTCTGGACCTCAGACACACAAAGCCAAGAGAGCCCTGTCCTCAGGCCAGGCAAGCTTAAATATCACATTCCCTTAAAGGATAAGAATTATCTGTAAGTATGTCTCCTAATCGTTAAAATTATATTGAATCCAATATTTTCACCTTTACTTCATGACAAACTTCTGGTATGATCTACCAGACCTCCAGTATGGAACACCTCTGAGAACATCAGCTCAAATATTGACCTACAATGGGCTTTTTGAGCATCCTTGGTTTTTGTTTGGTTGGGTTTTCCCCTCTTGCTTCTATTTAGCAGCAGCACCACCAAAACCAGCAATACTCTTCTGCAAAAACCTGAGTATGTGAATTAAGAGCGGTCAGGTTCCATCACTGGACGTGTTTTTTAATTAACACCAAATCATGAAAATTTCTATGTTTCTAGCACCATTTCAGGTAAAACAGTGTCTATTGTAAAGGTCATTCTTTAGAACCATGAACTCTCAGAACACCTGACAGCTCCCAGCTCTGCCCACACAGACCCACTGACCGCGTGCTCACTGACACACCTGTGATTCCTCGAGGATCTGTGTCATCAACACCTTCTTAAAAGATGCTTCTGGCAATCAAGTAAATGAAAACCACAGATCTAAGAGGTCTGTCAGGGGAGTGCAAAGGCAGTGGTAACACCTCTTTTGCAGCCAAGTATTGTTGGAGGTGCCCAAATCCATCACAGATGAATCTGAAGATCACCTTACAGATTTTGACTCGAGTGAACTGTGGAAGCAGCAGGCTACTCATGAAGCTACAAATAGAGCCAAGAGTGACAGCCAAGTCCAGGGCAACCTGTGCAGAAGCCTGTGACCCTCTGGGAAATGTAAATTAGTACATCTGTGTTCTATGACCTATTTGGAAGTAGCACTTGAAATGTGTTCATTAGCTTAGAAAAACAAAAATAATGAATGAATACAGAGCTTGGACTAAGAGAGAAACTGAACTAACCCCTGTGTGTTTCTCTGTTTAACTGCAACAATGGGTGCAAACTACCTAACAAATCTTCTGCAAAATTTTGCAAAATACTCATAATTTCTGGATTGGTAATTACCAAGAATGGAGACCTCAAGTGTGAAATGCCCAACAAAAATAACAAACAAATTCAGTAACTTATCATCCATCTCAAGGAACAACTGCTTTAAAATTGTAGTATTTAAAACAATTAGTTATCAAAATCATCCACTTAGTTTTCTAGAACAGCTGCCACTGAAGAGACTGTAAATGAGGTATTTTAGCATATTTATGCTCTAGTAAATGCCTGTGCTTCTAGTATGACGCAGTGCTTATTGCCAAATGGCTTTTTATAGCAATGGCAAGAATCCCTGAGCGGCTCTGTTCAGTTACTATTTGAGAGTTCAGTGATGTTACACCCTGTGACATAATGAGAAACATTACTCAATGCTCTTCCACATTCTGTATATTTAGAAAATTCAAAATCCAAGTGCTTATGACAGTTACAAATAATCTCAAATAAGCCAGTGGATGACTAATGCAATCCCTGGGAGGTTGCTATGATGACGTTGTCTTTCTGAAGGAAGTGAGAGTATTACTTTCTTGAAAAAAACCTAGCAGATGAAAAGAAGAAGGGACTAGAATAAAACTGACAACCTCCTTGCATTCCATCAGTTAGGAAGAAACTAGACAAAATAGTAATCCCAGCTATTTATCTGGATAATAGGAGTATTTCTCTACTGGCAATTGCAAACTGAGATGCTACTGCTATTTGTACAAATGTTCATTCAACAGGCTCAACCAAGTGAGTTTAATTGAAAGTGTTTTAAATTGCTGATAACAAAAAAAAAATAACCTAAGAGAACTAAGGCTGATCACACACAAGTTTACAGTCTACCTGTCAGAGAGAATTTCCATATACAGACACACACACCCTGAAAAAAATCCATCAAATTCACTTTTTTTAGAATTCTGGGACAGTTTCTGAAAGAGATATTGTAACACTGCAGGGCTGTGAAATCTGCACTTATCACTTCTGTGCATAACCACGACTTATGTTGTCTATCAACAAAGAAAGAAGAATTTTCAGCTCATTTTTCATAACCTGGCTAGACCTACTTTTTTTGTTGACATACACACAAATTGAGGTAAGGCTGCTACTACAATTTGCTTATATTTAATGTTTCAGTCTTTTTGTAACATTCATGGTTTTAAAGGAAATCTACTTAAGAACTGTTCTGCAAACCATGTGAAGAGCACTGAAGTCTCATCTTACTAGAGAAACCCAATATTATTTTTGAAACCAGACGTGTTAAGAATTGCATACTTGATCTCATGAATATAGTTACAGACAGATTGCCACAGTTTTTACTGGAAAAATGACTACACAAACTGTCACTGAATAATCAAGACCACCATGCTTTTTATGCTAAGCATATTACAATAATAAATTCTACTAATCTTCTGCCAATTTAACATAGTTCCCATTTGTCATTAATTCTGTCTCAGCCCGAAAACTATTAAAAATATAACTATCTCCAGGTGTTCAGTTTTCAAATTTTAAAGGCTGCCAATCACATCCCTTTCCTTCACATAACTCTTAAGAGGAAAACTATTTTTTAATGTCATGATTGCTCATATAGCAGATCAAAGTGATATTCCCATATCTGCGCCTGTGTATGATGATTCTAAACCCTAAAATTTAGGGGAAGGAGGGGTTTTATTGTTGTTGTTGCTTGAATTTTTATGTTGTTTTTTTTTTGTTTGTTTTGCTTTTGAAATATCAGAAGAAAGTAAGTTTTGGCTTTGGACAAAGAGCCTGAAAGTCTTCCTTGATGCCACAGTACTGGAAAGAATCTGATCTAAAATGACAGCTGTGTTCAACACTAAACTTTAACAGGCAAACTCCTCCTTAAACACCTTTGCATTTATACAACAGGTTTGTGACACTGTGGAGAAGGGATGGACAGAGTTAGAAAGCTGTGAACAGAGATGGCATCCCATGTCTCTGCTCCATGACAGATAACTGTTAATATCAAGTTGGAAAAACACAGCATTTCTGTGCTATAGCTGAGCAAGTATTATATATGCAACAGGCCAAAGAACACAGGACTTCCTGATAAAATAGATATTGATAATATAGATCTCTTCCAGAGCTTAAAAAAAGCTTTACCTGGCTCTTAGTCTGGCTGCCAATTTTCTACCAAAATCCTATTTTCCATTGTGTACTTCCTACTAAACATGTAGCAATCTCTGACAAAATGCAAAAAAGTAACCTGGAAGGGGCAGGAAAAAAAAAGATGGGGAAATAAAAAAAGAGAAAACTTCCCATTGTGTTTGGCTACTACTGCTTACTCTTCTATCAATGAGTAAACAGTTGGACTTACTGTGACTCATAACTTATTGCTATATTAAAAGACAATACCCTTTTATTTAAAAAAATATTTTTTCATAAAATGCCACTTTGCTGCATGCTTACAAAAAAAAAATTAATTTAAGAGCAATAATAATCTTAAAAATTTAAGACATTCCTCCCAGGTTTATGCTTATTTCCAAAAAGCTAGCAAGTATTTTGTGCTGTTCATTCTCTCTGGGCATCAATTAATAGCTTTGGGCAGCAAATACAAGATGTACAGATCAAGTTTCATAAACCCATTTTTTTTTAACTGACTCCTTACATAAGTACTGGGCAAAAAGTCAAAGTGCCCTGTGTCAGTGCTGGTGCAGCTGCAGTACAAATGAAGCACACCCAGGAGCACACACATGAGTTTGGTTCAGCTAGACATGCTGGAACTTCAGTGAACATTCAGAAAAAGAGTAACACAGGTTAAGAGTATTGTGTAAAGTGTTAGAGTACTCCTTAAACTATAGAATTAAATGTGTATGTTGAAACAAAGCATAAAAAAACCTTTATGCTTAAGTAATTGTTATTTCATGTCTGTATCACTAAATGCAAGCACAATAATCATGAAATTGAAACTTGTCCTTTTCTATATCATACTGAGCTACTGTGTGTCTTGTCATCTGAGAAATTTAGACAGGCATATCAAAATAAACATCTTCTACCTGAGGATAAAAAACTTATTTTCTGTCAGCAAGAGTATTTCATCCCTAGAATAATGGAGAGCTAGCTGACTTGGAGAGCTAATTGCCTTTCTCCAGGAAGCTCAGATCCATGACATGACAGCAGAGCGCAGACACTGCTAGGGAAGGGCACCTCAACATAGCTCCAGATTTTACTCAGTAAGCAACTAAAATCTCCTTTGCAGCTCTAGGCCACCAGCACTCTGATCTCACCATGACAAAGATAAAAGAAAAGTTAGGTTCATGAGGATTTTGCAGGAGAAACTGGGAACTAAAACAATCACAGGCATAGCAGGCAAATACTCCTCCTCTGCTGCCACCCTGGCAGTGTGCAGCTGCTTGGTCTGTGCAGGAGCTTGATCTGCTGCTCACTCACTTATTGCTGCTTCATTATCCTGCTCTAATCACGGGACCTAGATACCAAGGATTCTGCCTTAATCTTCCACTGATGTCCCTTTAATCATGCCATCAATTCTGTGCACACTCTAGGTCAGGATGAGGCCACTCCAACTGTGTGGTGTTTGATCTTACACATTCAGCTGAACAGAGAGCAGCTGAACAAAGCCATCTTCACTTCAGCAAGAGTTTACAAACCAGAATATTGATGGAGCCCAAGCAACCAGTATGACAGCCCAACAAGGCCTGATGGGCACCAGTATTATCTGTCATGT